AACTCTTCTAATTCCCGAATAATTGTGAACCCGAGCTGCTGTTACACTTGCATTTAGGGTTTCAAAACTACAAGCCGTATATTTTACGTGTACAAAAAACCATGCATTTCTCTACGGTGTCAAGAGGAGACCATATGAGGTTCATAAAATTAAGCAGCAGATTTAAGCAATATTGTTAACTTTACAAGCCACATTCGTAAAAGCAGATACATGACGTTTCATGAACGGCCATTTAAAGGTATTAAAAAATCTCGCAATTAGAAACCTTTTAAAACCGAATTATACTCTTCTTTTGAGTATGTAATTGGAAGAAGACGTGATTTTCTACTGAATAAATAAAAGAATGAATATTTTTCTGCATGTTTTCCATGAAATATAATTGACTTTTCAACGACATCGAAAATCAGTGAGAAAATTGCATGCTGATTAAGTAGTCATTTTTGCAGAGTATAGATCTTGCATTCAGTCGAAGATAAGTTCTTTCGAAAGCCGACACCCTGAGGTAACTGGATCATTATAGTTTTCTCCTGCATCATTATTAATTTTTCAACACTTCTTAATTTATCTTTTCGAGACGAGAACGCATTTGGAAATTTTGGTTGACATTTCATGAGTTAGCGCATCTACTGTATATAGGGAATACATATGTGGTAAAGATATTACACCGTACTCCCCACACAGATACTAAAGGCCCAAGAGTATGGTTCGCCTATATTCTGCAGCTGGATGACACAGCTGCGAAGGGTTCGGTTCCTCGGTGTGTGCCCCACTGTTCTCCATGCGGTGTCTGGTATATTAATCGCATTGAATAATTTCAGAAATTTTTTAGTGCAGAACATGGAATTAAGTCTCCGGTACATTACCTTTTTAGGTTCAAACCAGAAATGGTAAAAGGGAGTTCACTGATCGTTTTTACCTAACTCACTCGTCCCGTTCTGCCCTGGGGCTTCTTTTCGGGCCCAACCAGCAGCCGCACAGCGGCGCGAAATATAGGCAGAATAACATTATCGACAGGGACAATGGAGACGGAAATGGTCATTTCTGGCTTATTAGCCGTCATCAACCAGTCATATCCATCCTCGAGGTGTGCAACCCTTGAGACTGGCAGGAATCGACACAACGAAAAGAGTGAGTGCCTTGTTCAAGTTAGTCGGAAAGTAGGTCAAACCGGACGATTAGTAAAACTTGCCGGCTTCCATGAATGGCACATAATTTATAGATCACAGTTTTCTTTGTCAATCTGTTATTCGCATAGTTCCTAGTACAAGAAAGCACTCCGTTTTTCCGGTAGGAGGAGGAAAACGAAACAAATTTTCTCAATCCTAAAGAAAGATTATTATTCAGGAACTTCCGTATGCCGGCACACGGTTTAAAGTTGCGAAGACAAGCAGACTCTTCTGCTCAGCTCATTTGTAGATAGCTGCCGAACGCATTCCTTAAACTACCTGCTTATTGAGTGTAATACTCATTTGACTGACATCCATAACGTCAGCCTGACAGTTTCATCATTTTGCCCGTCTGTGACGCTATACTACTGATGGCTAATAGTGAATTACTACAGGGAAGGTTCGTCCTAAACAGTCTTAATTCTGCTAATATTCCCATGTTACACCCGAAAAGTCAATTGGCAAACATACGTTTTGGGTAATTATTCATCAGTTCACTGAAATTACATAGAGAGTGAATATGTGAACCATGGACAGGGTTTACATGCGTCTCGAGAGCTTAGTCCCACTCCCTGTTCCCACGCCGACCGCGTGACGAAGTCAGCGTGCTGTGGTCACTGGAGGTAGGGGAAGGGGTGGAGTGTTTGGGGCTACCGTCTGAGGGGCGTCTGTATATCAAACACGCGGAGTACGCGTGACCGTGATTAGGCGGGTTGGGGCGGCGTGCGATCAACGCCTGCACTCGGCCACGGAAGGCAGACCGCTCGTACCAATCAAAAAAACGCTCGCTTGGTTAGTCGAATAATCATTGTCTCGGCTGCTGTTAACACTCGTTGGTGTAGGCATTTAGAGTAGTTTGGCGGTGCCCGAGAGCCTGAAAGGCCTCTTTAGCGTCGACTCGGTGGTTCATGCAGGCAAGACGCGCTAGGATAGAACTCGAAATCGATCAATTTTCACCGCTACCCATTCCGGCAGGTATGTGTTCTTGTACTCTCTTGTCCAGACGCATCGCTGTACAGCCAATGTATCCCGCTTCGCAGGAACAGGGGAATGAACATGGATGCACACTGACGTGGCCTGCAGAGGTAGTCGGTTTGTACCTCCCAACCGGAGGGCGAGGAAGTTTGTGAAGAATACGCGCAAGTTCGCCGCTGGAAAGGCGTTCCTGGCAGACGTGGTCTTACTAATTCACTTACCGAGTCCCCTAGAACGGGCAACCTTAGAAGTGAGTCCTTCTTTTATACAGTTGCAGTGGTAGGCTTCTTTACTCCGAAGAATATATTCTTATGGATGCAGTGTTTTTTGCAGCTGCTGGAGTTCTGCGTCGCGCTTTAGCAGCCAATCTTTGGACTAGATTTCGTTTTGGACTTAAAGGGACAAAATTCCAATCGGGAGGACTGCTGAAGTGCACCGAAAGTTGCCGTTCATCCGGCTTGATGCGCGGCTATCAAGAGTTCTCCATGTTACCATTCTTCATTATCCTTTTGATGTATATTCACTCACTACGCGATTTTCACCTATGAAGTGATTTTTGATGGCTTGTGTTCTCATTTAAAAGGCCATGTTCGAGGTTTGTTTACCGGAAACTTTCTAATGCATTGTCCGAAAACTTTTTAATAATTTTTTTGATTTTTACATCTCATGCTGTCACAAGTTATTATTAGACGAATCGTAATTTGACCCCAATGGCCAACCAAAAGACCCTAAAGTCTACGATACAGATCTGGGAACCAATTAACAAGGGACAGCAGAAATTCACTGAGAGCACTACCAGCTGCGTCTCAGCCAAACAAACCGTGTTAATTGATAGACAACTGTATTCAACTAGACAAAGACTAATTTTTCTCTGTCTTCCAGTTAAATGAGAGAAGAAATTTCATTCTTCTGGGATTAATTACTTTTTTTTTCTATCGGCTGCTCTCTGCTTGTTTTTCTGTCATGTCTTAAGCAGGACGGTTTTCCGTTCAAGACAAATTACAGCGGACAGGGAGTTACACCTGCCTAGAAGACATCCTGATTGGCGCGGAAATGCCGGAACAAACACTTTGAGGGAAGGTCACTTACGTCTGTCATGCGACTAGCCATCAGCATCCATGCAGCAGGGTACTGGTGACCGCGATACTTGACAGTGTTGGCGTGAGTGTTCCTCTGCTGCAGATCTTCATACTCGCTCACTGGGAAGCAGACCTCGTAGTCCTCCCTCCGCAGAGTTGAGATCTAAAATATGCACAGTAACCTCAATGGATGGGGAAATGTCCCCCTCCCCAATGAACGATATCATAAACAGTTTGGATAGTTGTAGTGGCCAGCCATCATGACCGGTCTGGCGTCATTTTTTAAGACTCCCTTTTGCAGTGAGCCGCTCTAAACGCGCTGACTTAAAGTCACACGACCGACAGCTCGGACACACCTGCGTCCGCACAGCCCAAGCGGCTACTTGAACGCACCTACCCCATGTAACCGCAATCTAAGCCACTGGGAGACCATCCCTCGGCAAATGCAACACACGCCGACTGGACGCCACTTGAGCTTGTCCCAGGAGCCTACAAAAGTGGCTGCCACCACTATCTCAGGGACTCTCAGGCATGCCTGGACGCAGTTAACATCAGCCCTGGCGTCGCCAGTGGCCACTGCTGCCTGAGTGGACAACTCCGGGTACTGTGCACAATAAACCCCTCATTTTGGTTCCATCCGTCTTCTCCCGTCAACTCGGGATCTGACCTGGTGGTTGTAGCGCTCAGAGCGCTTATTCTCACCGCTGTGTCGCTATATAGTCTCATCTGATCGGTGTTGGGACCCCTACCTGGTGTTCTGATGTATTCCAATTACAAAAGCCAGTCGGACGGAAAGTTCAGTCACTGCACGGTGGTTCGTCTAGAGGACTGATCAGCCCTGGCAAGCAGATCATAAACTCTTCCAGTTCGAACGTACTTAATCACTTGGAACCTTTGCTTGACCGCTCACCCGTAGCTCTTGCCTGACCTTCTGGCAGAAATACACCCTCTGAACTTCGTTCACCAAGGAACTCGTGCGAAACCTAGGTCGGCTGGCTGAAACTATTCCGCCCACGCACATTGATCCCGCCGGCCGCAAGTCTACATCTTACCTTCCACGTAGAAGTAGACGAAATCGATAAGGTATGTCAACCGCAAGACTCTTCGCGCCATTTCTGTCAGTCAATACCTCACACATATATCAGCTCATCTACGAGGCCTCGACAGTTCGATACTCGTTGCCGACGATGTTAACTATAGCAGAGTGGGCGCAAGGACGGTGACTTGCGCGTGGATTTGTTTATATTAATAGTAGGCTTGCACGGCATCTAACGCACTTCCCCCTCCTCCGCCGCAACCTGGGCGGGTAGTCAGGACTACGTCAAGAAGACCAGAAACAGGAGAGGCTGCAGTTGGCTAGCACAGCGAACGTGTCATCACATAACCTCGAATCCCACTGAATGGGAGTGTCACAGAGGCCACATTAAGAAGGCGTCATTGCAGCCTGACTCTCAGTACTTCAGGCGGCGAATCCACACAAACACACCCATCGGATGCGCGGCTTTAAGCGAACCGTGATAGCTTCAAGCGCGTCAGATTGCTTTGACGACTATGCGCTGAGATGGTCAACCCCAGCCTCACTTCCCACTCTCAGACACCAGTCCGAGCAGGTCAGATGTCTGATGTTGGAAGTGTGTGTTTGTGTGTGTGTGTGTGTGTGTGTGTGAGAGTGCCCTCAAAACGGGCCGCGTGTTAGATGCGCTGGACCAACACGGGGGCCACATCGTACTCTGGCAGGCGTTATCTGTGCGCAATAACAAATGTCAACATTTGCGGCGTGCGCTGGCGGACCCTGTTGTCGGCATTCGTCGCACAACTGGACCACTGTCACCACCCCATTGTTTTGTGGTCAAAATCCTGGTCATTGGTGTGTGGACCAGGGGTGCGGAGTGGAGCGCCAAGGCGAGGATCCGTCCGAGCCATCCACCTGCAGCCTCCCCCGTCGCCGGTCTTCTTGACTCTGTCTTGACACCGGGCCCAGGCGGGGGAGGAGGAGGAGAGAGTGTAGGTAGATGCAGCGCAAGTCTACTGGCACTATAAACCCCTGCGCAAGTCACCGTCCCTGCTCCCACAATGCAGTCTGTGGGGCACACGGTGGTCATCGTCGAAATCGACGGACGAACTATCGTGTGTGTGAGAGAGAGAGAGAAAAAAAAAAAAACAGTCCGTCTGCAAGAGCCACATGCAGGACCTGCTTCCGCAAAACATGCTAACAATGTTTACCATGTGTTCCATAACGAGGGGGGAGAAAGGGTGATGGTTTGCATGTGAATTCGGTTATGGTGATGTTAGAATTGCTCAGCCTCTACCACACTCCTCTCTCCTCCTCAACCTGGGCTGGGTGTTATGAGAGTCAAGAAGGCCGGAGGGGGGGGGGGGAGGGCGCCATATAACGTGCCATTTCATAGACCCGAATCCCTCGAAGTGGGAGTGCCGTAGAGGCCACATCAAGACGGAGCCATTGCAGCCTGGCCATCACTTCACCAGTCTGCCACTCCACGTCAACACACGACACTGGGCTGGCTGCGAGGTCCGAATTATCCCGTCAGTTGACAACCCTCTAATCTACGGCTTTTAGCTCATCGGGATGGCTTTAAGCACGTCTGATTCACTGTAGTGCTGAGATCGTCGACATCACTCTCCACTCCCAGGTACCAGTCCCCTGTCCGAGTTGGTCAAATGACTGATTCTGGGAGTGGATGCACTGGCTGACAGAGCTAGTGAGACCGTCTGCACGCGTCACATGTACGACCTGTCCCCCCCCCTCAAGCGCACACACGAAAAGGGGGGGGGCGGCTGAGTTTTCAAATGTGTGGCGGAGTGCAATTAGGAAACATCAATCGCAGTCCAACCATCAGTCGGCCATTAAACCGGGTCAACTGGCGTAGTCTGAGTTAAATCGTCAGCTGGCGATCAGCCAGTTAAATCAGTAGCCACCACGACCACGGCTAGATCGCAGTTGATAGCCAGGAATGAGGAAGGGGGCGGCGACCTTAACCCTAATCCTAACCTTAACCCTAGCCCTAACCTCAGCCGTAAACTTTGAAGCATTTTGTCCCCGGTACGAAGCTGAAGTAGGCAAGAACAGCAGGATTTATTGGCACCAAAAAATTTCGCGACTGCTCTTCAGCTGCTTCCTGTCGCTTCATAAGAGGGATAACGAGTGAGAACAATACAACAGATTTGAATTCATGCAGAAAATCGATGCAGAAACAGCAAGGTTAGGGTTTTGGGCAAGTTGGCTAATCGATAAAGTTAATAACACAAAAAAAGAAGGAAACGTTAAAGAGCAAAAAATGAGAGGAGAGAGGGGGAATCATGGAGCCAGAGGCTACCATGGTAATGTTAGGTTAACCACGTGCTCCAATTGTTTACAAAGATCTGGTTTCCTGCTGCTCTTGCCTACTTCAGCCGTAAACGTTAACCGTTAACCTTAACGGCAACCCTAACCGAAATCGTAAACGTAGCCGTAACTGGAAAACCTAACCGTAATACTGAAATCTAATCGTACGCTCAAACCCTAACCCGAAAATCGGAAACCATTAACCGGTATCCTAATCCTAACCTCAGACGTAAAACGGAAGCCAAAAGGATCAGATGTGATTATGGTACCCCACAAAATAGCCTCAGTAAACAAACCCACCCAGCCACCTGTAATACGGGGCCAAGCTACCAACTGCGATCTAGCCGCCACCCACTCTGGCTTTGTAAATCCGTCGTTGTTCTGCTTGGAATACTTTAACTGCTTCAACAGCGTAATCTGGTGGATTTGTTCGCAGTTTACTGACTCATCGACAAACGGGAACAAACGGGGCAAAATAGCATGACTTACTTCAATGGGATCGCCCACCAAGGCCCCTCCCCGGCCGAGGGCTTTAGCGTAGCCCAGACGCCTCGCTGGGCCGTTGTCCATGGCAGCCTAAAATTCAACAATCACAGTCATCAGCGTACGTCTGAGTTTCCGTTAGATTCTCGCACAGGGGGACTAGGCGACCGCAAGTTACACATCCAACCTACCGGTATCTTGCCGTAGGCCAGCGCAACGTGTCCAGTGAGCGTAGCAACTGTGAAGAGATGGGGGTTGGTTGCGTTGAGGGCCTGAAGAGGAGAAAAAAGGCCTTCTAAAGACTCTTGTCTCTTGCCGTCATTTTAACAAAAAGTTTAGGTTCGCCATGTCTGCAAACGCTGCGCACGCTTTCCAAACCACAGTATCTGAAGAACCAAATACAAGTGGCTCACAAACCGACGACTACGCTACGCAATCAGCTTGTACACCCTGTGAATAGGGCTGACTATTTGGATAAAAAAGAAGTAGTCTATAAGATTCCATGTGGCACTTGTAATGCGGTATATTGTGGTCAAACCGGAAAATCCGCCTCTACACGCCTACCTGAACACCAACGGGCAGTGAAGAGGCGGGACCACTTATCCCAAGTCGCTATGAATATTCTTGAAATTGGACACAAATTCGTTTGGGATAAAATACGCATTTTTGGTTCCTGCCCAGATAAGAAAGGCCGAGAATTCCTAGAGGCCATTCAATCTGATGATTCATGCATCAATCGACGCATCGATGGTGACGCCATATACACAAATCTCAAAGAAAAATGGAAAAGTTAATAGCCAACCAAGACGCGACATCAGCCCACAGCAGTGACCCATCCTCAGCCCTGACAAAGCAATATCGATTTTTTGGGCATGTTTAAATTTTGGCTGTTTCTTCACACTTACTACACGTCTGACGACGATCTGGGAAACCAGACTCGAAAATTTACGAAATAAAGTTTGGTCATTTTCCCAAAGGACTCCTTTTTCTTCGAGTTTGGGTTATCCTTAACGGTAATTCAAGGTGGAAAGAAAGCAAAATATCATGTTGTCTGTGACAAGTAAATCCCCTGAGAAAAAACATTGCAAATTGCGTCGTAGAAAAGAAAGATTCAAGTGGGTTTCCCCTTCCCACTAGCCAGAAAACTGTGCTGTCGTTTAGCAGGTAAAAACGCAATCAACAGCATTAACATCAAAAAATCCCGATTTTCCAAGCAATAAATCTAGGATCCACCAGATGACTATCAGGCTCACTTAATTAATTGATGCTTTTGGCTGATTTAAATAATTCATTCGATCCAACTGTGAAAAACTCGGCGGACTTGGTGGGATTCGAATCTACGACAGCAAGGGGAGGGCTTGAGTACAGCCAACGCTCTGGCCACGCGATCTGAGAGGTCCCACCGGGAGCAGTGACTTTAATCACATTTGGATCACGTTACCTTCTGAGCCTACTGGGCTCCCGGTTTGACCTCGTAGCTGAGGAGGTTAGAGCGTTGGCTGTGGTCAAGCATAACCCTTGCTGCCATGGGTTCGGATCTCATCGAGGCCACTAAGGTTTTTACAAATGGGTCAAATTAGTTGTTCAAATCTGCCGGACACAAATTAAAATAAAGTTTCTCGCTTTCTCATTAATTATACCCTACCCCAACTCATATTTCTTAAGGTTTCTACCTCCTAATACAAACTTATATACGTGTATATACTGTGACCTAGGCATCCCAAGAAACATATATATATATATATATAACATACCTCCTCCTTAGCATATGCCAACAAGTCAACCATGACGTTGCGACCCTCCGCATCGGTGCTGCCAATGCGACTCCGGACGCCAGCTGCGGAAGGAATTATTTCATCCACAAGGTAGGCATCGTCTCCGATGCCATTTCGCACGAACGCCAGTTTTGCGTTCACCTTGAGACCTTTCGGTTTGAGAATGTCCAAAACGCGCATGAAACCGACAATGGATGTGGCGCCGCATTTATCCTTTCGCATGAACAACATCGAGCCGCCAGTCTTGAGGGAGTAACCACCGGTATCGAAGTTGATGCCCTTGCCAACGAAGAAGAGGGTTTCGTTCACCGCGGTGTCATTTGGTGGTGTGTAGATTATATGGACTATTCTGCCCTTGTACTTGGGAGTGTCTGAAAGGCAGGTGTAAGATGCGTATGCAAAGTTTAGTGGAGGCTAAGAGCCAGGGTTGAAATCTGATAAACAGGGCTGAATACAATTAAATATCCATAGACAAAGCTGACGGAAAAAGGTTCACCAATGACTGGATTGAGTCAATAAGTGTATTTCTTCAGTGTGAAGACACTAGGTCTAACTTAAGACATCCGAGGCATTTACGTTTATCTGCAATTACGGGATCACCTGCTAGATATAAATCAACCAAATCCAGCAATGTGTCCTTGTTGCCGGGGTCTTCTAATTCGGTGACCTGAAGACAGCACGCGGCATATCTAAGGCTAAGAGGCTGCTGTAGGCTACTACTCAATTTACCACCGACGTTTACATTCCAGATGTCAGGAATACACGGATCGTGTCATAGAAAAGGATTAGAGAAAGCTGTCATGACCAATGAATACTCAAGAAGGCTGACTTTGTTTTGAGTCGAGCTACCGTTTTCAGTCTATTTGCTCAAATTTGACTACCCAACTCCATGGTTAGGAGTTGTACATGCATCACGGGCGTTAGGGGAACTGTGAGTTTGTTTGTCGGATACTTTGTCTTCGGTGCCTTAATCGCGACCATGTTTACCGGTTTGACATGAGGACGTTTGATCCCTGCTTTTATTTCTTCTCGGCTACTAAATGCCCACTTGGGATTTATTTCACAATACCGACGTTCCTTAGCTAACTGCCCAGACCGAGGAAGAGCAATATGCTTTCTGGCAAAAAAGAATAATGGATACCGAAAGGTATAGCTGTCCGAAATAAGTATATTGAGAGTGGCGAGGAATTCTTAGGTAATTCCGACAGTCTAATTACGGTCGTGAGTTTAAACCCACCGCCGAAGGGTCAGTTGGCAGTCTGCTCCCTTGGTTGCCGTCGCTTTGTCACGCTGCCCCTTTTCCCTCCTCGCGCTCCCCGTCGATTCTAAACCAATCGGACTTCCCTGACTTGTGGTTTGAAGATCTTCGTGTTATCGAACATTGGGAACTCTTACGTTATCTCCCCACCACGACAACTGGCGACTCCTTACGAACGGCGTTGGCAATGAACAACATTTCACAGGAAGTGTAGCATGCTTTGGCACTTACTTTTGGCACTCTGTCGGCCGAACGGCTTATGGAGATGCACGGTTTTCCGAGCCACCAACTTCTGCCATAGCAGCCTCGTCAATTTCTCCTGTGTCTCCTCACTCTCGCATAAAGTCTGAGATTGCGAAGCTTGCTCGTTTTTCTTAAAAAAAACCGGCACCTCTCTCATCACCCCGGAGCCCGCCGAGGTCATCTGTCCGGCGTGTCCAGTTAACATTTTCGTCTCCTGTCAACACAGTCATCACCTGCAGACATCACACACTTTCTGGCGTCGGTGCCCGTTGCTGCATCTCCCCCCACTCCTTTGTCTCCTAACAGAGCAAACGAACCAGACCGAATTTCAGTGTATCCAATCTCCCTGGCAGTTCTAGCCCTGGTCTCACTTTCTACGACTGTGACAATCGGAGTGACGGACGCTTCCTAGTTGACGCTGGTGGGCAGCTGAGTATCATACCTCCCACAGCAGCCGATCGTCGGCGCACCAGCCCTGGTCTCTTCCTTCAAGCCGTAAAAGCCTCGCCAATTGTCACCTCCACTCCATTTACTGCTAAGACTTTACCTAAGCGATGTAAATAGTCACGCAAAGAGCGCGCAGATGAACACGGTGTCCAGTGGCTAATTGCTAAGTCTGTATCGTCGCCGCTAACGGATGTAGGCTAGGTAGCCATCATTGTACCAAGTACGACCGCGACTGCAGTGAATTCCGAAGCCGCTAATTTTGGTGACTTTGCAGTGGCATAACAACTGTATCAACTGCATACTGAACCCTCTGTGCGTCCATCTGTCACTGTCTCTAAAAGCAGATTCGGAAGTGACTCTGAAACACCAGGTAAACTAACTTCCATTTCGAGGGATGAAATTGTTGCGGCAACCAAAACCATAGGAAGATGCTATCCACTACGACCCGGTTCCGAATACAAATAGGTGTTGGACGCCGTGCAGAACCCGTTAGAGTACGTTGGCAGCCGGACGAGTGGGCAAAACCGGCACCGTGAGACCGACGTTCCGAGTCTCAGTAGGAAATGCGTCACGGCGCCTTGAGCGGCCTTGGGTCGGCCTTGAAGTTGATTGGCTGGTTTGGACAGGCGTGATTGGCCGAGACTTGGCGCGCACCTGCAAGTACGCGTGAGACGACGTTGCAACAAGCGCCCGTGGAAGGGCCACTACAAGTGCTCCCCTCCCGGATCGGAGTTTGGGTAAAAAGTCCGGGCGGAGGAATAGCTAAACCGAGTGAATGAGCCAACTACCGGTGGCAATGTTATGGGCAGCGGGAGCAGATGTGGTTGGCAGAAAAGAGCCAGGATAATAGCGGGGGAGCTGGAGAAAGCCGGTGGTTGTGTTGAACGTCGATAGCAAATCCGCATACCATGTCGGTATTTGTTAATTTGGGTGAGGAGATGCCCCTAATTATAGAGGACGTGAGACATCGGATACTGGGAAGGACGTCCGGGTGCCGGCACTGATGGCTGAGCTGTTCTGTCAGATTGCATCGGAACTGCGACCTGGACTTGATGGGTCGAGGCTGTTCGATGGCATCCGTCTCGACTCATGGCAAAGTATCAAAAAACCGCGTCTGCCTATCTGCAGACACGATAGGTGACACTGAAAAAGCCGGGAAGGTGAGGTCGACTGGGAATTTTGAGACGACTGAGCTCAGCAACGTCTGGCAGTTGTGTTTCGACCAGGTCGGGTTTATCAATGCCGCGGAATCTAAAGTCATGGTGCTGTACGCCAGCTGAAAGGATACTGTATTTTTGCACAGAAGGACTGGAGAGCCGGTCGAGATAAGTCGGCAGCCGGATGGGAGAGTAACCTTCTTGTTACCTGCTTCCTGAGGCCCATCTTTTGGCGGCAAGTATCATCGTCCCCATCACAATCATCACTACCCTAACCAGCATCGGTGTCAGGATCATTTTACCACTATCACACCTGGGCTTCGGTGAAGACTGGTGATTTGTGGAAGTCTGAAAATCAACATTCTATCGTTCAGAAGGTCAGCAAATGCTTCTCAAACTTATAAACATTAGGGTTTTCTCGTTTTTTTCACTGTTCTCTTTCCTTTTTTCACATTTGTTCTGCCATTCCCAGAAAAGAACTCGAGAAGATTGACTCCTTTACTGACTCCGAAAATTCAGACAAATGGACGAATAATTCCGGTGCTTAATACGTCCTCTTCTTTCTAACACATACATATTCCCAGAGTTCGGATATTCGCCTCAGTCTCAAAATGTTCTTTTACTTCAAGAAATTTAACTATTAAATATCTTAACCGTGGGAAATTCCGTGAAGTAGATGTTGAAAGGCGGTTGAGGAAGATTCAGGATAAAACTCCCAAAAAGGTATACCCTCGGACTAGCAGATGGCATCGCAAAGTGCATAAATAGTCAGATAAAGCAACCAGGCCACCTACTTTCATAAAGGCGATCAACTGCCGCGATCATTGGATACTTTTTCTTGTCAATGTACTCATACTCGATCTTTAAGTTGCCGCCCAGAGGAACATTTTCTTTTATATATTTCACAACATTGGCAGCTGTCATCCTTTCTTCGTCGGTTGCGCAGAGATCGCGGTGGATGTAACGACCCTCCTCCATGGCCTTCACAAAATCGATGACCTTTTCAGGAGCGTTGAAGACACCGATCTTGTCGTATTTGGGGAAGACCTCCGGTCGCATTTCACGAACCTGTAGGGGCTGAAAAGCACAAAACCAACAGCAACAGGTGAGAGGAGGATGCGAAAATGTCTTGAAAGTAAGGAATATGAACGCATCTGACCAGCGGTTTTTGCTCAGAACAAACTAGGCGGCCAAATGAACATGGAACCTATAGTCGACATTCCAAGGCTGGCCCATTTGAGATAGTTCAGCCGGTGGCATTGGGCCGCTCACCGATCGCGTTATGGGACTCACTCGTCCTGTTGAGCCCTCCAGCAGTCGCACTGCGGCGCATGATATAGGCAGAATGGCATTACCGATAAAGACAAGGGAGACTGAAATGGCCATTTCTGGCTTATTGGCCGTCGCCAGCCAGTCATACCTAACCCCGAAGTGTGGAACACCCGAGGCCCGAACTCGCGACCTGTTAGTTGGAAGTCCACGCCTCTAACCACTGGGCCACAAGCCCGTTGCCCTGTCGGTTTCCGATCGGGAATATACAATGGGAGGGGGCGCTCACCGGTCGAAACCGACAGGGCAAAGGGCTCGTGGCCCATTGGTTAGAGGCGTGGACTTCTAACTAACAGGTCGCGAGTTCGAACCCAAGGTGTTTGGTATGACTGGCTGACGATGGCTACTAAGCCAGAAAGTGCCATTCCAGTCTCCCTTGTCTTTTTCAGTAATAACATTCTGCCCATAGTATGCATCGCTGTGCAGCTGCTGTCGGAGATCGAGGGAGAGCCTCAAGGTACAGGGTAACCAGTGAGTTCCGTAAAGCGATTGGTGAACACCCCACTACCACTGTTAATATATCCGATCGCAACCAACAAGACAACGTGCCCGTGGCTCAGTGGTGAGGGGAGTTGGACTTATAACCGGAAGGTCATGGGATCGAGTCCCAGGTGCTCCGCACTTCGGGGTTGGGTATGACTGGCTAACGACGGCTAGCAATCCAGAAGCAGCCATTCCAGTCTCTCTTTGTCGATTATTCTATTCTGCCTATAATTCTGTCGGTCAGGGCCAAGGTTACTTAAAGTGAATGCAGAAAGACGTTTAGGAACATAAATCGGCCGCAAACCCCTGCGTAACAACTGAAAATCGATAACAATAGAGGGCTGTACTAAGAAAGACAGAAAACCCGGATAAGATCTGTTCGGTACTGGCAAGCATTCAGGGCACCGAAGAAGTCGGAACACCACTTAACTGAGGAAGCCACCTATCCCAAAACAACAAGCCCCTTATTTGACTTCAAGAAAGGACTGTATGTTCTTGCTTCGCGCCGTGACCTGGTGGCGTAGGTCGGTCTGAGCCGATCGCAGGAAGTAAACGTGCCTAGGGTCTAAATTGCGCGCACGCGGTCACAGGGAGACCAGCAATGAATAATCGATATGCTTTTTTTTAGTAAAAACTGAGCCAATAAATGGTCGTTTCTCGCTTATCAAGCGACGATACTCCAACCCCAACCGCCGGAGCACCCAAAGTTTGCGCGTGGAATAGCATTCTCGGTATTCCTATCTTTGCAATTAAAACTTTTCGATAACAGAGGTCCCCCTAGGTAAGTAACGCATCGCCTGGCAGACAAAACCATTTTACAGATACCTTTTCCCGTCTTAGCCTGCCCTTCTTCCTGGAGGTACAGGTTTTGCCAGACAAAGTCCTAGGTTGAGCTATCGTTTGCAAGCGGCCAATCAGAAGCGGATGCCGGAGTCTTAACTTTGTCAAGAAAATCAAGTTAAGACATTTGGCGTTAAGCGCCACTTATATTGCGCGTGCTGCAGGTGGGCTTGACCGTTAGGTACGTACCCACGTCGATTCAGGCAAATTGTTGCGTTTTTTCCCGTCATCTGGGCGAATTCTTGCATTATTTTCAATGCCAAAACTCATGTAGTTCGACCATCGTTGTCGACGATGTCCACCGTGTGCTACACACCAGGGTGAGAGCAGGTACGGTGGCTTGTGTGTGAGTTAGTTTATAGTGATAATGGACTTGCGCCGCATCTACCGCACTCTCTCCTCCTCAATCCCCAGCTGGACCTGGTGTCAAGGCAGAGCCAAGAAGACCAGAGGTGGGGGGGGGACGCGCAGGTGGATGGCACGGTCGAGCCCGCACCTTGGCGTTCCACTCCACGTCCCAAATGACCAGGTTTTTTGATCAACAACAACAGCAGTAACAACAGCGCCAACACCCCAACAAGGGCCAGGGCAACAAGAATGACTGGGCAGCCATGCCCACCACCTGTATACCCAGCGGGAGCGCAGGCGCCTCTACCGGCAGGGAATTGCCAGCGCACACCAGGATGCGAGGGCCAGCCCAAAACTCATGCGGACAGCAAAATCACTTCCAGATGAGTAGACATACCGTGTACATCTCATGCAGAGCGCCGAGCATTGCCGTGATATAGGGGTAGATACCCTGGGTCCAAGGTAGATCTTCGGAGGCCCCGTGGAGCTTGCCTAGGACCAACAACGGTTTCCTGTACTTCCCTTCGTATACTCTGTAATAAAAAAATTCAATGTACTAGGCTTGTCTCAGCCATTCTGAACAGTGTTCGCCAATGCATATGCGACACACTTTGAACGCAATTTACAGCAGATGTACTATCGCATGAGATGTTAATCGGGATTCTTAAAAATGTCTTTGATTCGAAAGGATTGCCTGGTTGTCATGTATCCGAGTCCTAAGATATTTTGGTTATGACAAGATGCCGGCTTTTGAGTGAGTTTCCTCCCGGCCGTCTGTACACCGGCAGAAAATGACTAATTAAGTAGATTTTTTCCCATTGGTTTACGATGTCAAGATGAAGTCAAGTAAATTTTATATAAAAAATGCATATAAATATTCTCTCGTGGGCTAGTTTGGCAGAAAATCACGTCTTCTTTTAATCATACGCTCGAAGAAAGAGCATTTTTGGTTTCGAAAACTTTTTTCAATTCTCGGATAATATGGAACCCGACCTGTCATTACACTTTCATTCAGGGTTTCCAAACTACAGGTCGTATGCTTCCTGTGTAAGGAAAATCACACACACTTCTATACGCCATTAAAAAGATGTCATATATGGCTCATGAAATTTTCTTGATCGATATGGGCCATGCTGTATACATTATAATCAGTACTAATAAATGCCTCACAAGGCAGGAAGTGACCGCCTGCGTGGGCATAGACTCTCAATTCCATCCTCTAAGCTGGTCAAGTCCCGTGATTAAATACTCCCGACCTTGGCCGGTATGACACGGCCTGGGTCTCGGATGAGAACTCAGTCAATCGATTTATCGATCTGGCGCCGCGCAGAGAGTCCTGCGTAGTCATCTCCAGTCTTGCGCCGTTGGTCGATGATGGGCCTACAGGCCTTATAACTGTCGCTTGTCCTGTTTCTGCCACTACCTCTGACGATGGACTCCTGCACGAGTCTGAAAGTTCAGGACAAGAAACAAAGTGTTCCGGTGCTCGACTCTTCTTTTTCACTTATGACACAGGTAGCTCAAGCGATCTACCCCTGTACTATATCTCTAAGCTTGTTGGAGCACAACGAAAAATACGGTAGAATGAAGGTGTCAGGCTAAAAATATTTCCGCGACTCCTGTACATGATGTCTTCCAGCTGTCGCGGTCTTAAACCAGTCAGCAGGCAATTCCGTTGTCATATTAAAATTCACTTTCATTGTTGCCCCACAACCGATTAGTTCAAAGGTATATCGCCCCAAACTGGTTAAGCTCAAGAGTAAGAGATCATTTGATGCACAGTATATGTGCTAACTCAGGAAATGTTAACCGAACTCATGAAATGCATTTTCGACTTAAGTGGGATTATAATATTAATCACCGTACAGCATAATCCCATGATAAGTTCAGTTACTTCGCGATGCTGTCTTTTAAGCGTACTTCTTCCCGGATGCCCGCTAAAACTACACTCTGTAAAAATGACTACCTAGGAAGCATGAATTTTTCTCATTTATTTTCGACTTCCCTACACATTCAAATATATCCAATGAATAACATACGTGAGAATATTCATTCCTTTACTCATTCGGAAGATAATTACGTGTTCTTCAATTCCTATGCTTTAAAGAGGGATATAATTCGGTTTTAAAAAGTTTCTATGAGATTTTCTAAGACCGTGCAATACCCGTCCATACATTTTGCAATATAGCTCAAACTCACTGCTTATTTTAGAAACTCCCTGTGGTTTCCTCTTAGAAGTCTATGAAGATGTATGATTTTCTGTACACGGAAAATAAACAGTTTGTAGTTTGAAAACCCTGAATGAAAGTGTAACGGTAGGTCGAGTTCAAAAGTATTCGGAAATTGAAAAAGTTTTTAAAACCAAATTATACCCTCCCTTCAAGTTTATAATTTAAAGAAGACATTATTGTCTTCCAAATGAGTAAAAGAATTAATATTTTTCTGCATGTTTTCCTTGAAATACATTTCCTTTTAAAGGGACAGTGAAAATCAGTAGGAAAAAATCACACTAATTAAGTAGGTATTTTTGCAGAATATAGCCTTTGCGAGCAGCCGAGAAGGAGTTCATTCAAAAGCCGGTATCCCAAAGTAACTGAAATATCTTGGGATTATGTTGCACGATGATTAATATTACAACTCCACTTAAGTAATCTTTTCAAGTTGAAAATTCATATCAGAATTTCGGTTAGAATTTCATGAGTTAGCACATCTACCGCATTTAGAAATGTAACTGACAAAGGTGGGTAGAGCGTGGGATCAGTTTGTGCTCTATCTGCACAAACAGTCAGTTCTGTCGGACGACTTCGTTGAACAGATAATGGGGCAGTACATGAAATGGTTAGGGTCTCCGTGTTAGAAGGGTCTGATAAAAATTAAAAAAGGAGTACGGTCCCACTTATTGCATCAACTAGGGCAAAGAAAATGTCCAGAGCTGAGTGGTCCCGTGAATGCGAAAAGACTGCACATACTTACAGGGCAAATGCCTTCGAAGCTGCCTTGTAAATCAGTCTACTGTCCGCTGTGTCAGTTTTCAAACTCCCTGTAGAGGCGACGATCTGTGAAGGAAAAACCCTGTGAATGCCTTTTCGACGTAATGCTAAATGGCAATTTCAAAGCAAACGTTAAAGATCAGTGCGATGGAAAATGTGGTTAATACTAAACATTTCTGGTGGCGTTTTCCACAAATTCCCTGCAGTAAAACTCACTGCCTTCTAATGGTTGCGAAACATTTAAAGTAAGATAAATGAACAGTGTATTATGACGTCTTCACTGGGTTGGGCGTACTCGCGTGCATCTCATCAACTCATGAGATAACTCGGTTTTCTTGGGGAATGAGGCTGCAATGGCTTCTTCTTCTTCTTCTTCTTCTTCTTCTTCTTCTTCATGCGACCTTCATAGCATCCCCACTCATATGAGATCTGGACCATCCCCACTCTTGCCTGATACACCTGGACTGGGGACCAGGTCGTGTGTGTGGAACGTGCAGAGGGCCTCTTTAGCCTTCTCACCTCCTGCGTTCAATCTCGCCTCGGGCAGTCTTTACTTTGCTATGGCAACTTGGCCGGTGATGGAAAGGAGAGTGCGGTATATGCATCGCATGCCTCCTACGCTATTAACTAATTAATGCCTAATCCTTTTTCTCAAAGTCCATCTCGTAGGACGGTGGTGGACGTCCTAGCTTTTGACGATGGAACTACGATGTGTGCAGATTTAAGGAACGTCATGGGTTTTTGACTTACTAAACGCTTGCTGGGATGCGTCAAAAATGGAATCAGCTTCGCAGACGCCTTCGCGGTTGCAGCATCCACCTAAAAAGGCAAATTGCACAACGGTGTTATGCAGAGTGCAATCACGCGAAGTGAATAAGATACGTGGTGTCCTTTTTGTCAAGCAATATTGCCGGGCCTGTAATTTTAAACCTAACTTTTGTCGATTTTTGTTTCACTCACTGTAACTGTATTGGCCTGATGAGAATTTACCGAAAGGACCGTTCACTCGCCACTGTCTCTTCTGAATATTGCAATCTCTGAAGGTTACTCCTTTTTGGGCAAATCGACTTACTTTACATCAGGTTCTGTGAAGAGGTGCGTGGTCTAGGTTTGAGCTCAGAAAATACCCGACTTAAAGGCTTCAATAAGGCAGATATTTTGTTCCTGTTTAGTTTGCAAAAAGAATACCTAAACAGTATTGAGTGTGTTAAAGCCTGTCATGATGTATGGTATTTAACGGAACATAATATACCTGATCTGGCGTCAGTACGAGATGATATATCAGGGCAAACTTAAAGTCTGGAGGGAGTTGTAGGCCTAGGGGGCAGGTGATTATATGAATTATCGTTATTTCTCTTGTTACTCAAATGCACTGACTAAAGTTAACTTAATCACGTAACGGGCCACCCTAGACGCCACTCGAATATCGATTTTGCCGAGACCAGAGTCAACTTCAGCTTCAAAGGAAATGTGTCATCTTGCAGAATATTTTACCAAAAAATGATATTTTTAAATGATGAATGGTCAAAACTAGTGCTAATATTGCGGATAACCCGAAATAAAGTTAAATATACAATAAAAGAAATGGTAGAAAAGCGAGGGCGGTAGGGGTAATCACTGAGCAGAACAGTGTTTTAACCACAGATCCCGACAAGAAGCCATAAAGGACCCAAAAGCAGAAGGGTTTCCTTTACAATTAATTAACAGCGAATTTTTCCTGTCTAAGAACAAAGTAACGGTACTCGTTGAAGGTAGGTTTCCTCCCACCGGAATCCGCCTTCGCCTGCGGAATTTCTAACTTCGTCTGCAGGTTAGGCATTTTATTCGGGTTGGAAATCCGATTCGGAAGATGTCACAGCTGCATACGCTTTTCGGTGCAGGGAAACGCGTTTAAAGTGCTCCGACCGGATGTGTATGGTATTTGAAATCAGAGATATCCAGAGTCTAGGCTTACTTACCGAATACCCTTCTGACCCATAAAAAATCTGAGTTATGCGAAGCTAGTCAAATATCCTGAAGGTAAAAGCTACTCCTTAGCGAGCGCCATCTCAATGTCTGCAATGTTGAACACAAGTCACTAATAAATCAAGGTAAAAGCTCTGTACGTACCGGTTTTTCATACAACTGAAAACCGATAGCCCAGTGCTACCTGAATCGTCATTACTATTCCCACCGGGCACATGGTTAGAGGTTTGCAGCATTTGCCGAAGGCAAAACTTCACAGCGAACCAGTCTTACAGGCCTTCAAAGAGGCCTTTATCTCGAAATCCAGACGAGAAAAACTATCGTACGCCCACAGCATTTCATGAAGACACGTCATAGAGAGGGATGAGGTTACGCATTCTAACAATTAGGCCATCAGTGTTTTCTATCTTAAAGATTACTTTCGAGTGAGTACCGATAATCAGTGCTCATTAGGAGGTGAGGGCGTGTGAAAATAAACGGAAGATTGACAAACGTACTATACCCTACTCCCGACATAGGTACTAACTACAAGTCCAGACGCGTGTTTGGCCGATAGTCTGCCGCTACGTGAAACAGCTGCGAGGGGTTCGGATCATCCGTGGGTCCCCCAGCGTTCTCGATGCGGTTTCTGGTAAATTAAATCCAGAAAATCATCAAGCGAATAATTTCAGAAATTATTCAATGCAGGACACGGAATTAATTCTCAGGGACATGGCATTTTAGGGTAAGACCCGAAATTTCAATAAACATTCGAGTCGAAGACAGTCAACTCCTGTGGAATAACCACGTAATGCCCATTATACAAAAAGTAGTACTAAGAGAAATATGAAATGCATATGTCATTCGTATGGTATAATACGTTTGGGATATAAATTTCATGCTAGTTGTAGCACTACTTGTTTTTGGAATAGGCATTACGCGGTTATTCCACAGTGGTCGATTGTGTCCGACTCGAAGGTTCATTGAAATTTTAGGCCTGATTCTAATATGCCATGTATCGGAGAATTAATTCCATATCCTGCGCTGAATAATTTCTGAAATTTTTCGCTTGATTAAGGCGAAGATTCCTGTGCTGTGATCATTTTCCACAAATTCGGCAGCCTGCCTATCCCTGACAAATGAGCTGCCTCGGAACTTATTCCACCGCCGGCAGAGACAAAAGCTTCTGCCGCCAACTCAGGTCTAAAGAGAATCGTTCTGGTTGTCTGACGACTTACAGTAGGTGGGCTAACTCATGAAATGTCAACCGAAGTTCCAAAATGATTTTCGTTTTAAGAAGATTAATTAAGTAGGGTTGTAAAACTAGTCAGCCTGCAAAATAACTCTCTAATATTTCCATTACCTCAGGACGCCGGCTTTTGAATGAACTTCCTTCCGGCTGCATACAATAATACATTCTGTAAAAATGACTACTTATGTAGCATGGAGTCTTCTCATTGATTTTCGATGTCCCTAAAAGTCCAATTATAGTTCATGGAAAACATGCACAAAAACATTTATTCTTTTGTTCATTCGGTAAACAATTACGTCTTCTTTCAATCTTATACTCGAAGGAAGGGTATTATTCGGTTTTCAAAAACTTTTCCGATTCTCGTATAATTTTGAACCCTGCTCTACCGTCACATTTGGATTCAGGGTTTCCAAACTACAAGTCGTTTATTTTCTGCGTACGAACAACCACACATTTTTCTACGGTAATAAAGGGGGATCATATAGGGTTCATAACATTAAGCAGTGGATTTGATCTATATTGTTAACTTTACAAGCAACATTGATAAATGCAGAGGCATGACGATTTGTGAACGGCCATTTCATAGTATTTGAAAGTTCCACATTTAGAAACATTTTTATAACCCAATTATGTCCCTCCTTCGAGTATAAAATTGAAAGAAGACGTAATTATCTACCAAATGAGCGAAAGAATAAATAATTTTATGCATGTTTTCCATGAAATATAACTGGACTTCTAGAAACATCGAAAATTAATGAGAAAAATTCATGCTAAGTAAGTAGTCATTTTTTACAGATTGAAGATTTTGCATGCAGCCGAAAGGAAGTTCATTTGATAGCCGGCATCCTGAGGTAATTGAAATATCATAGAATTATGTTGCAGGCTAACTAGTTTTACAACCCTTCTTAATTAATCTTTTCGAAACGAAAATGCAGTACGGAATTTCGGTTGACATTTCATGAGTTAGCCCACCTACTCTATGACAGGTGTCGTATCGTACCGCCGAAAACTCGAGCCCTGGACGGCGACTTCTAACTTGGTTACCGTCTTCAGTCAGCCAACGGTCTATCATCTTACTGGATGCCATCAGTAGTATTGTGGTGGTCTGTATACAGTAAGAGGAATAAGAATTAAAATCAATTGCTGGAACAAGGGCTTTATTCGCCTGACGTTTCGGGTTCTCGTTCGAACTCATCATCAGAGACAGTGACAGAAACGGGATCCTTGGTTTATGGACCACTTACCACTCCCATCCAGAGTTCTTACAATTTTCAACTTCGAGCATTGCCTGCGGCCATAATGGCACCTCTATTTTCAGTTCGACACATGGGGTTTTTCGAGATTTGTAAGCGTTAAATACAGTAAACTTATCGTTTGGTAGGCAAAAAGCATGTGAGCTTAAAAACAACATTGTCATGAAAAGACGCAATCCAAGGATGATAATGTGGTACTCACTTTTTGGTAGTTGTCGATCGCTTTTTGGATTTCGTCATACGGAGCTTCGTTGCCTGTCAAACTGTCGCAAATAAAGACGACCACATCGTAGTCCCCGCTCTTAATATCGGTCTCATTGACTATATTTTTCAGTTCTGTGTACGCCAGGCCAAGAAAAGCGAACTGCAGCAGGGCAGCCGCTAGCAGGACCGGTCTCCACATGGTGAGAGGCCTGTTTGAAGCAGAAAAACCGACGGAATGGAACACCCCAGCGTCTCAATTTTATACCCTTCTCTCAGCGATTAGGCGCTGGCGCACACACATACACAGACAGATTAAAATTGACTGGTGACTGTGACACACCCTCTTACAGCTTTCGGTAATCCAACAGACTGAAGATCTCTCTTTTGATCTGGGTCAATGGCTTTCAACCTCCCGCACTGACTGTCTTTGCATTCCGAAGAGAGTCTGCATAACTCACAAAACCTCTGCCGCAAACACAACTAATTGAGGTGACCAGTATGGATCGAGACTCATCCGGTGCAGGGCAGGAAGGGAGGCCGGATGGACACAATATCGCTGACCTACTTAGTTATTTTGAGTTGGTGCGGCTACGTTGGCACGGTGTTGCTGTGCGTTGCGGTATGTGTTCTGTTGACGGCTGGTTTCTTTGTTGCCGTGTCTGCCTTTTTCGGCCCACTGCTGGTGGTTCTTCTTGACCTTCGGCCTGTCATCTCCTTCTAACTTTCGCGTTGTATGTTTCAGGGCTGGGATTTAGGGCTGCGGTTAGGGGGTTGGGGGCCAGTGTTAGACGTTATGGTTGGGAGTTAGAGATAGGGGTTAGGGGTCAGGGAAGGTATTCCTCAGCCACTCAAAGTACAATCGCGCATTCCAATAATTTTTTTTGCATACAACTACTTGACCTCGTCGCCTGAGAGTTCCCCGACCCCACCTGTAGAAATCCCTATTACCACCGGTCCTGTATTGCAGGTTGCTGGGGTTTGTTTACCTCAGGTGCGGTTAGATAACTACATCTGAGCAAACGCTTTTCTGTTTAGTCATGCGTATTCGACGTGAAGGACCTCTTTGAAGTAGATAAGACTGAGCTGTACTGACGGTCGGTTCATCAAGAAAGATAACTTGGGGCGATCAAGCTGCGCAGAGCACACCAAAGTGTACTTGTCAGTGATTTCGAATGCGCCTGATGCATAATTCAAGACACACCCTTGAGTGGGAGGCATGACCTCAAGGGACGGCAAAGGTGAAGGGTTAGCTTCCCGCCCATATTGAATCGTCAGTCGACGGTATCTCAAACCCGGGCCAAAAAGCCCTGAGGGTTGGAATTGAACAGTGAGACCAGGTTTCGCCGGGTGCACCAAAAACCACACATGGAAGATGTGAGCAAAGCTGTATGGATTGTATGATGCCATGTGGACCTTCAGAGCGGCTAGAGAGCTCCAGTTAAGAGACCCTGCATGCGGAGGCATAGCGATGCCGGATGAGGAAGTTTGCGTAAGCGACTGTCGATCTAAGGGTTTTTGCATACTGGACACCACGGTCGACGTAACGTAGGCCCGTAACCAGCATGACAGGGGGGTTAAGGACGTACCAAACCCAGATTCGAAACTGCAGCGTTTCTGGCCCGGTGGTTTGTAGTACGACTGACATAGAGCATACACTGTCGTCCAGTATCCTGGTCAGAAATTAAAAAAGAGCTCAGCGCTCACCGAATACTTCACAATTGGATCGAAGGCATTATTAAAACGTGCAAAATTACCTATTAATTAGAGAGGAAGCAGCGAATTTCCAAGAAACTTACTCTTCACATATGCAAGGCACATTAGATTGACTCCAGAGGAAATTTCAATGCCTGTTCCACGACCAAAACCAACAGGAGAGGGTTCTCAATTTCCTGCGAAATCGACATATGTTAAAAACTCAGAACTAAGTCCAAGTTTCATATCAAGCAAAAGAGGAAAAAGGCCTTTCTCTTAATTCACGTCGTAATTTCAAAAAAAATTTATAAAGTTTAGCTTTAGAAAACTTGAGCGTATACGGTTACGCCGAACAGAGCAAATAATCAACGAAAAAAACGTTTGTACTTCTGTTTAGTATCTAATCTGGGAGTAGAGTACATAAGTCATCATTTACATGAAATTTTGGCTGAAATTTTGAAATGCGTTTTCGTTTAGAAGGGATAACTTAGGCGCGGTTGTAATACTGATTATATTACGGCATAATCCTATTATATTTCGGACTCGGCAGGATGTCAGCATTGGAATACAGTGCTTTTCAATTTCCCGTAAAAACCGTGTTAGGTAAAAAATGACTACTTGTGTAGCATGCATTTTCCCGTTGATTTTCGATGGTCTCGCGAGTTCAAATATATCTTATAGAAACCATGAACAAAAATATGCTTCCTTTCAGTCTTTTGATAGAGAATTACGTCTTCTTTATATTTTATGCTCGAAGAAGGAGTATAATTAGGTTTTAAAATATTTCTAATGATGAGATTTTTCTAAGACTGCGCAATGTCCATTCACATGGCATCGTACCTGGCCGTTTACTTCAGCTCCTCGTGAAATTTACAACATAGTCCGCATCGACTGCAAAATTTTATGGACTCTGTATGGTATCTTTTCAAAGGGATAGAAAAATATGTGATTTTCTTTATGCGGAACGCATGCACCTTGTGTACTGAAATTACCAAGCGTTAATGTAACGACTGATCAGGCTCCAGATTATGTGGGAATGAGAAAACTTTTTAAAACCTTATTGTACTCCTTCTTCGAGTATCGAATGTAAAGATGACGTAATTCTCTATCAAAAGACTGAAAGAAAGCCCATTTTTGTTCTTAGTTTCTATGAAATATGTATGTTTGAATTCGCAAGAATACCGAAAATCAGTTTGAAAAAATGCATGCTGCCTAAGTAGTCATTTCTTACCGAGTACGGTTTCTGTGGAAGATTGAAAAGCAGTGCATTCAAAAGCCGACATCCTGTCGAGCCTGAAATATTGTAGGATTACGCCGTAATTTAATCAGTATTACAACCGTGCCTAAGTAATCCCTCCTAATCGAAAGCTCATTTCAGAATTTCGGCCAACATTTCATGAGATCGGTCGCTCACTGTAAGTATAAGATCCATATCAAGTAAAAGAGGATAATGGCCTTTCTCTTAATTCACGTAGTATTTTCAAAGGAAATTTATAAAGTTTAACTTTAAAAAACTTGAGCGTGTACGGTTACGCCGAACAGAGCTAATAAGCATCGAAACAAACGTCTGTACTTCTGCTTAGTATCTGAGCTGGGAGTGGAGTGCATAAATCGTCATTTACATACTACTGGCGGTTATTCCACCGAAGCTGATAGACTTCAGTCCAGATATTCATGTCGAATTTCGAGAGGGTTTGCGTCAAATAATTTACTCCGCTTCCCCATAAGAATTTCTTAGAGAAAAAGAGAATCCCTCATTGGAGGGGTGTTTGTCTCTATTGCGCTCAATGTGGCAGAATCAAAGACGTAGATGCAGGCCTCTACAGGTGGCTCGATAATGGCTCGGCGGCTATGTTTGTCCGTGCTAGCGGCTAATGTGCTGCTCATCTGCTCAACTGCTTAGTCGGTGTGGAGGATATAAGCAGGATTTAGGCTAGCCGTTGTGATGAATAGTCGATTTCGGTCGAGAATTCGAATGCAACAGCCACCAACACGTGCCCAGTTCGTCCGACCTCACTGAACCTAAACGTGTACTCCTACCCTGCTGAGTAAGCAGCTATCTGCAATAATATAACGCTCACCGATCGTTCTTACGGGACGCATTCGTTCCGTTGTGCCTTACGGGTCCTCTCTCGAGCCCGACCAGCAGCTGCATAGCGGCAGAATGTTATCACCGACAGTATGTTATTACGGATAAAGACAAGGGAGACTGATAGCCGTCGTCAGCAAGTCATACCCAAACCCGAAGTGTAAAACACCCGAGGCTCGAACTCGCGACCTGTTAGTTAGAAGTCCACGCATCTAACCACTGGGCCATGAGCCCGTTGCCCTGTCGGTTTTCGATCGGGAGTATACAATGGTAGGTGGGCGCTCACCGATCGTTCTTACTGAACTCACTCGTTCCGTTGGGCCTTACGGGCTCTCTCTCGAGTCCAACCATCGGCCGCACAGCGGCGTCTAATATAGGCAGAATGTTATCACCGACAAAGCCAAGGGAGACAGTCGCCCTTGTCTTTGTCGGTAACAGCATACTGTCCCTTTTCCGGTTACGATGATCAATACCCCAGGCTGGCATAGTAACTGCACCCTTTCTCCGATGCTTATCCCGGCAACAAATTCGAAATAGCCGGCGAAAGAAATCGAAGCTTAGACGATTGACCTTTCCTCTCTTCCACGTCCTCTTCATCTTCTTTTCCTCCTCCTAGTCTTCTCCTCTTCTTATTTTTCATCGTTCCAAAATCAAAAGTGCCCCCCCCCCATAGTTTCATTTGCCGCTGAGGGTTCTTTACTTCATTCTATGATGATCTGCTTTCCCAGGCGACTAGATGTTTCTACTAAGTGGATTCCGCTCAGTGGAGAAGATTCAGGGGTTGTTTGACCCAAAGGAGAGTTCTGCATTTTTACTGGCAGCTGCGCTGATCAAATAGCGCCTACTTTAGCCGGTCCTAGTAATCACTTATTCTAGGACTCTGCGAGACATGATGTTAAAATAATGTCAGATTTTAGTAAATTCCCTCGTCTTGTTAGCAAGATAACCAACAGTCTGTTAAGCGCATTTTAAAATTCCAACTGCCCGGTACGTTCACTTTGTCTGTGCTCTGCAATAATGCCCATTTAAACGCTGAGGTCGGAAGCAAATGATCTACTTATCAGATCATAGGTTACCCAGTCTAATCGCGGCTCGCCCGCTTGATGGCGGTCACCGTGCAGACAACTAGCAGACTTTTAGAAGAACTTTTCTCATAGCCTTCGCATCTGTGCGGAGAGCATAATATGTCGTGTAGCTCTTCTTTTTTCATCTTCATAACCGACTCAATGATGAGGTGGAGAGAAGATAAGCTTTATTTCGAAAATATTGTCGCAAAATATGTGTCCTAAGATGTCCCGCAATCGTCTTGATCGTGGCACAGCAAATATAATTTCACTTTCTGGATTCCAGCCCGATTATACGTCATGAGTAGTGCCAATGATGGCATAACTGGTCATTCATGCTCTATCGCAGGACCG